AGAAGACTGTGTGGAAAAGATGTTGCTAAATGCCCCTAGCGGAGGCTACACCAACTACTCTCCAAGTATACAAGTAAGTAAACATCCATTTTTTTACAAAGGTGTACACAGGGGGAGGGCTGTAGGGGCCTAGCCCCTCTTGGATCGGTAAAATCCATAGTTTCCAGGTGGTTTCCAGGCCCTTACAAATTCTGAGCCCCCCCCCTGTACCCCTCCTGGACAAATTCCTGTGTACGCCCCTGTTTCTATTCACCTGTTGCTCTACACACTCATCAATATCAAGACATCTCTCTCCGATCTGAATATATCCAGGAGGACACATACACCTGTAACTACCCTCTGTATTCACGCACTCGTGCTGACACCTATGCTGCCGCGTCAAACACTCGTCCACGTCACGACAGGTTCGTCCATCACGGTTCAACATGTATCCTGGAAGGAATATAGTTTAACCCCAAATATGGTTTTGTTCAAGGAGCAAGAGACTGGGTATGGTTTGCTCAGACATGCAAAGATTACAATGCCCGATTTCCAAAAGTAACTTTGTCTTATCAAGATTGCATCAGATTTCTTTAAACTGTTAAATTTCATTTGTGATTTCTCTGGGAACGTGTCTTGCACAAATCTTGCTTTTAAGAAGCAATGGAGAAATGATCAGAATTAAACACTTTGAACTCAGAAAAACGATCGACGATATCTTGCAGATTTATGATTATGATACCGTTGTAAATCGGACTGATCGGGCCCAATTCTGTGGAACCTCGCGTGACCCCAGGGAAGGTTTATGAATGATCGAATTTTTAAAAATTTGCTTCTTACAAAATTCGGTTTTTGAAAATTTTGAAAATCCACGAAATTTTTTAGAAATTCCGCGAAATTTTGTTTGTTTTTATTTTACAATTTACATTAAAAGAACATGTTCACAATTAAAATAGTAGTTGCCCTAAAAGATTAGTATTTATAATAATTCTACCTGGGGGACATTCACATTTATAGGATCCAAAGGTATTCAAACATTCATGTTCACAAGGGTTCGGTTCCTAACAAATTTAGAGTTAGTCACTCATCTAAAATGTACAAAAAAATCTTTGTTTTGACCCACTTCCACTTGTCAGATTTTGATAAAATTTAGCTTTTTGGAAAGCCTTTGACATAAAGAAACGAATTGCACAAGTTTTACGAAAAAAATTGCAAGTTTTTTGCAAACAACCTGTCAAATTTGCACATTTTTAGTTTTTCTTGATTAAAATTCAGGTTATTTAAAATTTTGCAGACATTTTTGCATATTTGAAATGGCATGGTCCAGGGCTTTTCAAAACTGTATAAATTTTCATTTTTTTGACAAATTTTGTTGAAAACATTTTTACTATATAACTGGATTTTGCGATTAAAAATTAGATTTTTGCAAATTTGCAAATTTTTGCAGATTCTAAAAGTAGACCACAAGAGCTTTTCAATGATGTATTATTTGTCATATTTGGACATCAAACATGGGATTTAGAGGGGGGGGGGGTTCAAATTGACATATCTTGGTTTTCAAGTACTCCAGCAGAGATAGGGTTAAAAGAGTTGGTGAATATGTAGATTGAGTAAATTCTATCTAAAAATTTCAGAAGAAATTTCGTTTATTAGTAAAAGTATAATTTTTAATGATGCTGTGATTATTGATTTAGTTTGCTGTGATGGAGTTAAGTGATAAATTCATAAAGTCAAAAAGTTAGCTTTTCAAGCAAAGGAATAATTTTTAGACTCTAAGGTTAGTAACACCCAAAAATGTAGTCTTTTTGGTGTATTTTTATGGTGAACAAAACAAGGGGGGGGCAAAAAAAATTTAAAAAAGGTATTAATATTTTTTCAAAAAAGGGGTTTTCAAGGGGGGGGGCACAATGTTGCCAAGGGGGGGGGACCAAAAATTTTTTTTGACGCGCGCAAATTGTGCCCCCCCTAAACAAAAGCCCTCGTACGCCCCTGTATCATGTAACAAATTTAAGGTAAAATTGTAGTTAGTTCTTAGATAAAAAAAAATCAAATTGTGGGTTTTGATTTCTCTCGCATATCATGTTTTCATTGTCTATAGATCGTCTAGCTAGGTCCTGAAAATCTGTGCTCTCCGCAGAATATCATTGGTGTTCTGTTTTCTTCTGCATGGTTATATGTATATTGTTATTGTGGGTTCAGTTCTATCTCCATGGATTATGTTTATATTGTGGGTTAAGTTCTATCCCCCGATTATTATCATGGGTTCAGTTCTCTGGAGTAGATTATGTTTTCATTGTTGGTTTGCAGTTCTCTCCGCAGATTATGTTTATATTGTGGGTTCAGTGAGTTCAGTTCTCTCCGCAGATTATGTTTATATTGTGGATTCAGTTTTATACGCAGATTATGTTTATATTGTGGATTCATTTCTACACGCAGATTATGTTTATATTGTGGATTCAGTTCTCTCCACAATTATGTTTTTATTGTGGGTTCAATTCTATACGCAGATTATGTTTATTTTGGGAATTCAGTTCTCTACATGCACAGATTATGTTTTTATTGTGGGTTCAGTCCGTTCAGTTCTATACGCAGATTATGTTTATATTGTGGGTTCAGTTCTCTCCATAGATGATCTCCTTCGTTTTTTTAATTGTGGGTTTTGTTCTTTACCGCAGGTTAATTTTATTCTTTTTATTGTAGGTCCAGTATTTTCTGCTGCAGAGTTACCTTACTAACCGGAAAACCTATAAATACGGATATGACATTCGTATATATACATATTTTTAGGCTTGGAATACGTAAAAATACGTATTTTCCATACGCATGACATACATAATTTTGTAACTATTTCCTTGGTAAAAATACGTATTTTACATCCGTAAAAATACGTATGACAAACGTTAAAATACATATGGAAAAACCCTAAAAAAATCAAAAGAATCAGGAATCTTTAGGTTTTTCCTTTACGTAGATTTTGGTTTGAAAAAGCCGTAACATTTCTTAATTTTGGGAATTTATAGGTTTTACCTATACATAAAAATACGTATTTTTAAGGAATATTCAAGGTCCAAAACCAAAATGTTAAGAAGATGACTATAATTTTGCATGCACATTGCTCCTTCATATTTATACAACTGATTCCACAAATTTCTTAAATCCATTCATATATATCATAATTTTCAATTCACACCATCATCATTCCTTCATCTAAATCAATATGCATGCAAGCATTTTGTCTGTATCTTCAACAAGTACGTATTCAATATTAATTAATATTAATATTAATTAATTCACTTACCACTATACCAGTTCTAAGACTTTGAAAGTAGAACTTCTAAATATAACTATAAAAAATCGAGAATTTGCTGACATTGATCCTAATGAAAACATCAATTTACTCCAAAATGATAGAAATTTTAAAACATTGTATTTATCAAAATAATTGCATTAGATTTCTTACATAACAATTCTGCTGAAAAATAATAAAATATTTTTGAATTCTAACTTAAAAATGCATTTTTGTGCAGTTAAGGTTTCCTGAATATATTGACACTTTTCAACTCTAAAAAATACAAATTTTAAATATAGAAAAAATTCCGAAAAATATGTAAAAGTTTATAAAATCAAAACCTAAAAATTTATTATTTGTTAAAAAATTTACGGAAATATACGCATTTTTAGGTTTGTATCAAACTTATAAACTCTAAAAAACCACAATTTTTTAGGTAAAAAAGGGAAAATACGTAAAAATTTGTAAAATAAAAACCTAAAAATTATTTGTATGAAATTTATGAAAATACACTTATTTTTAGGTTTGTATCAAACTTTTATATAAACTCTAAAAAAATACAAGTTTTTAAAGAGACTTCTTTAGGATTCATTTAAGATTTATAAAACTTTTCCACAATGTATAATTACTGAGTTTGAGTGCATATTCGACGCTGAAAATTATAAATTTGGGTGGGTACGTTTTCAGAATCTTTTTTTTTAAATTATTAAATAACGACGACGAAAAATGAAGTAAAAATTATAAAGTGAACTAATTAGATGATGAGGAACATATTTCGCATAAGAAATTTATCAATAAATCAATGCTAGAATCAATTATTTCGTTTTCATCATTATATTGAATTTCTTACTTTTTTTATGAATTTATTCGTAGATATCTACAAATTCTTCAAATGTCGTCTTTTCAATGATACTTCCAGAAAATCTACAAAAAAATATTTGTAAATACTGAGAGACTAGAATAATGAGAAAATAGAAACTAATAATTGAACAAGATTACTTATTTTGGATGATAAGACTAATTTTTATTTTCTCAACCTGTTCCAACTAATCAGTGTAATGTAGAAGTTTGTTTACATTTTTTGTCGCCGTTATTTAATAATTAAAAAAAATTTCTGAAAACGTCTCCACCCAAAAGTACGATTTTGAACTTCGACTTTGCGCCCAAACTCAGGATTTACAAATCTTTAAAAAGTTTTATATGTCTCAAATGAATCCTAAAGAATTTGTCCACAACACTGCATACCCAGTTCAACTACCTTCATTGCCGGTCTGTCCCTTTAAGTAAAGAAAAAAGCCGAAAAATGCGTAAAATTATGCAAAAATATAAACCTGAAAACTTTAAATAAATTACATTGTAAAAAGTATACGCAATTAAATTCGTAAAAATGCATTTCTGGAAAACCTACGCACTTTATAAAAATCGCTAGGAATAAATAGGTAAAAATACGTAAATATACGCAAGTTCTTTACCAATAGATTTTAGTATACGAATTATCGCGTAAATAAACCTAAAAATACGTATTCCTTTGTAGAGACTCTAGTAATTTTAGGTTTTCGGGTTGGAGAGTAATTTTCATCGCGCGTAAACGGCGGACCATGAATTGATTTAATTAGATTTAAAAATGTTTTTAATATATAAACTTTACTGCACCTCAGAATTTTCAGCATACGTTCATGAAACCATATTAACATTAAGGGCGGGAACAAAAATATCAATGATAATGTAAATGTAATAAAAGTAATAATGCTGTATTTAATTTCTAAATATTGTTGACACCGAGCTTATGTATAAAGAGAATGTAACATCGATCACAAAGTTTATAGTAATATTCTAATATCCAGTTATATGTATCATTGTAATATTGTAATAAACAAATATACAATATCCAGATTGCGCAAACTTTCTAAAACTAGAGATACCTGGAGATGAAACAAATATTTTAAGAATTATAAATACAAAAAAAAATTAAATTGAATCACATTAAGAATTACAAAAGTTGTCATCTCATTAGCTGAAGTAATTTTTAATAAAAAATAAACTTATATTTTCTTCTCCAGATATACTTAATACTTGATCAAATACTGGTTGAAAGTTTAAATTTTAAATAACTGCAAAGGATTAATATAGAAGCATATACCGACGACATTAAGCAAAAGAATATAAAAATTTAATTTCTAAAATATTGAAAAAACGGATTTAAATCAGAAGTCTTTCCTTAGTTATTTCTAGAATCTCTCTAAGAAGGGAAGGAATCATTAGAAATTTGACGAATAGCGAGTTTCCTTGTTCCATACGATCTTCTTGGACATCTTCATTTCCCGCCATTACATCTTTATTTGGTTTGGCAAGGTTGAGGGGCTGAGTCTGACTTGGCCTGGCACCAGTCGTGCTTATGTACTGCTGGAGCAGTATCACAAACTTCAATTGGATCTTCTCAACCTTAAAAAAAAGAACATGAAAAAAAAATCATTTGAGATGAAATTTTTTTTTGAAACAAGCAAAATTATTTACCTGTTCTCTGTTCTCTAGTTCTATGAAATCCGTATTAAATGCAATAATCAGGACGAGAAGAACCATTGAAACCATGTCAGTGCAATCAACAATCTAAATATAAGAAATTAAAAAAAAAAAAAATATATAAAATAGTTAAGACAAACAGAAATTTAAACATTTATAATGTCTCCACTACGTGTTGAAATATTATGTTTAATTGTTAACAATTTGATGAAAATTTTATTTTTAGAATTTCTATCTACTTCAAGGTTTTAATTAATTTTGTAATCTTGTTAAAGTAAAAGTTTTATAAACTCAAGTTAAAACTTACAAGTTTTTCTTTTAAAAACTATATTATGAACCTGAGATATCCTATAAATAAGCTTAGTGTGGGACTCCTCATCCTTCTCCTGATCATTTATCCAGGTAGTGTGTACACCTCGGTAATCCAAGCTAGATTATACATTCAAATTAGTAAACTCATCAAGCTCATCAAACTCATTAAACTCATCATGAACTCATCAAACTCATTTAACTCATTAATTCATTAAACTCTTCAAACTCATTTAACTCATTAAAATAAATACAAAATATTTGGCCTACAATAATTTAGCACCATTATAAATTCTTTATCTTACCTTTTAAAGTAGTAAATATTAATGAAACCTTTCAGGATATAATTTATTCATTTTCATTTACTTGTAAAAAGTCTCTATATGTTAAATTGCACTAAAGCTGGCAAGTTTGCTTTTTAAAGGAAAGTTTCAATTATTTAATATTTAACTATTGTCCTACTTTGTAAAAGCAAATGCATATTTTTAAGGTGTGATAATTAAGATTGTATTATTTAACTTTTGCTCGGAAAGGATCAGCCTGAAAACAACCGGCTTACCTAATCTCATTTTTAGTTTAATATTTCAATACAACATATATGCATAAATCTTAAAAGTGAATGATTGTAGTTTTATTGATTATTTGCCTATCTTTATAATGAATGGAGCCTGGAGAAGATAAGACGCTAATTTTATCAAATATAACCGCCAAAAATATAACTAACCAAAAGTATAACCATTTATTAACCAAAAATACCACCATTTTTGTGTCCAAAAATGAAGCCTTTTTTATGAAAAACACAAACATTTTGTCAGACTTAGCATAACCTTTTAAATAACTTACCCATTTGGACTCTGTGTTTTTTTAGAAAGATCAAACGGCAAATATTTTTCAGCTTCAGTCAGTTTTTCTTCTCCAACCAGCAAACCAACTAACTCCCTAGGATAAATAATAATAAATCATATACCTGATTTTAACTTTTTTTATCAAGATTAAAACTTTTTGAAAGACATAACTTTATTGTGTCTTGAGGGATAAGTGGAGGGTTTAAGGTTGAGAGTAGGACGGATTAGTTCCTGAGTGGAGGGTTTGAGGTTGAGAGTAGGACGGATTAGATCATGTGTGGAGGGTTTAAGGTTAAGAGTAGGACGGATTAGTTCATGTGTGGAGGGTTTAAGGTTAAGAGTAGGACGGATTTGTTCCTAAGTGGAAGGTTTAAGGTTGAGAGTAGGATGGATTAGTACCTAAGTGGAGGGTTTAAGGTTCAGAGGAGGACGGATTAGGGTTTAAGGTTGAGAGTAGGATGGATTAGTACCTGAGTGTAAGGTTTAAGGTTGAGAGGAGGACGGATTAGTACCTGAGTGTAGTTTGAGGTTGAGTGTAGGATGGATTAGTACCTGAGTGTAAGGTTTAAGGATGAGTGTAGGATGGATTAGTACCCGAGTGTAGGGTTTGAGGTTGAGAGGAGGACGGATTAGTACCTGTGTGTAAGGTTTAAGGTTGAGAGGAGGATGGATTAGTACCTGAGTGGAGGGTTGAGGTTGAGAGTAGAACGGATTAGTACCTGAGTGTAAGGTTTGAGGTTGAGAGTAGGATGGATTAGTACCTGAGTGTAAGGTTTGAGGTTGAGAGGAGGACGGATTAGTTCCTAAGTGGAGGGTTTAAGGTTGAGAGTAGGATGGATTAGTACCTGAGAGTAGGGTTTGAGGTTGAGAGTAGGATGGATTAGTACCTGAGTGGAGGTTTTAAGGTTGAGAGGAGGACGGATTAGTTCATGTGTGTAAGGTTTGAGGTTGAGTGTAGGATGAATTGGTACCTGAATGGAGGTTTTAAGGCTCAGAGGCTGAGAGGAGGACGGATTAGTACCTGAGTGTAAGGTTTGAGGTTGAGAGGAGGACGGATTAGTTCCTAAGTGGAAGGTTTGAGGTTGAGAGGAGGACGGATTAGTTCCTAAGTGGAGGGTTTAAGGTTTAGTGTAGGATGGATTAGTACCTAAGTGGAGGTTTTAAGGTTGAGAGGAGGACGGATTAGTACCTGAGTGAAAGGTTTGAGGTTGAGAGGAGGACGGATTAGTACCTGAGTGAAAGGTTTGAGGTTAAGAGTAGGATGGATTAGTACCTGAGTGTAAGGTTTGATGTTGAGAGGAGGACGGATTAGTACCTGAGTGTAAGGTTTGATGTTGAGAGGAGGACGGATTAGTACCTGAGTGTAAGGTTTGGTGTTGAGAGGAGGACGGATTGCCGGAGTCGATGAATTAAGGGAAGATTGTATTTCAAGATACTCGTCTGATCACTTTCACTCAAACTCTGGAATTCCTGGAACAAATTGTAAAAACTTAAGTTTAAATCATATCAAAATTTAAGAATATGATGATTACTGGACAATACTACTTCAGGCTTTCAGCGTTCAAAACTAGTACATACTTAGCGTAATCTTAATCATAAAATTCTTTTCATTTCAGTTTAAAGTTTTAAAATTCAAGTCATATAATTACAAAGGAAGCTAATAAATTTATTTCGTTATAAAAGTAAGTTTTGACACAAACACATGATTAAATTGATTGTTCTTATGTGATCATGGAAGTGTGTGTATCTAAATTAAACCTTCATATAAACCAACCTTAACGACCCTGTACACTGTATATATATATATATTTACCTGGAGTAGGGATAAGCTAACTCTAGTTCTAGTGTCCAGGATAGTGCTCAGCCTTTCAGCAGTATGCCTGGAGAGCTGGGTTCCTTGAAGAGCAGTCTGGAGAACATCTGTCAGCAGAACCGACTCAAGGTCATCTTCTCGACCTTCACAAGTGAAGATAAAGAATCAAATTAAATATTTTGATTTAAGTGAAGGCATCATATTTCAAGTAATATAATAAAAATATAAAAACCAAAAACTAAAGTTTGCAGCAAACATATTAAGACTTCAACAATCTATAATCTATATAAACGTTGCTTGTTTGTAACCGATAAACGAAAAAACGGCTGAACCGATCGGGCCCAAATTTTATGTGGGACCTCACATGACCCCAGGACAGGTGTATAAACATCAAAATTGGTGAGAAATAATTCCTTATAAATAGAGGGAATTTATTATTTTAAAATGCGACAATTCGAAAAAAAAAATCTGCCAAAATTTGAAAATTATTTAAAATGCCCAATTTTTAGAACATCAGTTAAAAGCTAAAATTATTAACAGGAAAGTGGCGGAAAGCGCCTTAAAGCCTTAAAGCGCCTTAAAAGATAAATTAATCAAACCTGTGCAACATCTTTTCATTATCTCAGCATATTGAAGTATTTTGAACCTATCTCCAGGGGACATCTGCTCTACTCCATACCCGGAGAAACGGGACGAATCTACTCCGGAGAATCGGGACGGGGTTAAGGTTGGTTGGAATGAGGAGATCTGTGGAACCATGGTAAGTGAAGAGTAAAGATTACTAGGAGGAGTTGGAGATGTGGTTTTTGGACTACTGGAGCTTTGTGGAGTATTACGTCCAGAATTATCCGACCCATCTCCCTGTATAGAAATAATTTCATATCAAACCTAAACTATTCATAACCTTTTTTACCGAATATCACATATTCATTTGTGTGAAACCAAATACAATGCTTTGATATAAAACACATTGATGAAACAAAAGTTGTAACAAAACTGAACTGTAAAATAGACAAAAATCTCTATTTTAAATGGTTTAGTATATACAACTTTTCTGTATGTTTAATATGTTGTAAAATTTTTTTTTGGTTTTCGATCCCTAACTCATTTTATTACTTTTTTTTAAATATTATGAACAAATTGCAACATACCTGTTCTTTTCCTTTCCCCTTGGTTCTACCATGGAACCTACGGATTCTCTCTTCCTCGGATAGGATCCAGCTAGGACGCATTCCACAGGATAAGCACTTGTGATACCTTCACAATATCCATCCATCAATATAGACGGGCAATGATTTTTAAAGAAAATACACGTAAAAATATTGTTTGAATTATCAAATTTAAATTTGTATTTACCTACAATACTGACAGTTCTTCCTAGTGAGTAGATTAATAGGACAGCTCTCACTACGGTTTATACAACGGAATCCAGTATAGCATCTTGACTGCACGGATCTATACAATTAAACAGTTATACTTTTATTCATTTACGTTAAAATATCAAATACATGTGCATTTCATAATAAATAATAGGATGATAAATGAATGTTCCTCCTAAAGAATGCTCTGCAGTCTGCAAGAATGAATGATTATTGAATGATCAAACCTTTTAATGTTTTAAAGAATGCTCTGCAAGGACGAATTAATGAACGAATGCAGATTAAACCTACTAAAGAATGCATGAATGAATGAATGAATGAATGACTCTACCACCTAAAGAATACTCATCTGCAAGGATGAATGTATGAATGAATGACTCTACCTCCTAAAGAATGCTCTTCTGTAAGGATGAATGTGTGAATGAATAACTCTACCTCATAAAGAATGCTCTTCTGTAAGGATGAATGTATGAATGAATGACTCTACCTCCTAAAGAATGCTCTTCTGCAAGGATGAATAAATGAATGAATGACTCTACCTCCTAAGAATGCTCTTCTGTAAGGATGAATGTATGAATAAATGACTCTACCTCCTAAAGAATGCTCTTCTGTAAAGATGAATGTGTGAATGAATAAATCTACCTCCTAAAGAATGCTCTTCTGTAAGGATGAATGTGTGAATGAATAACTCTACCTCCTAAAGAATGCTCTTCTGCAAGGATGAATTAATGAATGAATGACTCTACCTCCTAAAGAATGCTCTGCATGAAGGGCAGACCTGACCACCGTAATAACTATGTTTCCCAGCCTTCTCCCCACACACCTGGCAGACAGGGTTCTCACACAATATTCTATAAATACAAAAATATAATAAACTTTTTTCAAAAATTCAGTTTATTCATCGAAATTAAAATTCACCTGTTTATATCTGATCGAGAAAGGCCTTGAAGCCTAAACTTAATTTACAATGTGGACCTTAAACTTTTTAAAACTTTGATCGAATTTTATTAAGAAATACTTAAACAAATACAATATTTATTTCTGAATCCTGCCAGGCTAAAGGATTTGAACCATTGACACAACCCCTTATTTTCTAATCCCTATATCTTTGTACCCAATGTTGTAGACCTAAGATATTTTAAACCATGAATTCTGTTAGATCAAATAATCTAAGTGTTTGAAATCTGTAAGGTTTACACCATGGTCTATCAGGGTACATAGGTTTAGGGATTTAGACAAAGACTTAATTCCTTTAACACCCTGAGCTTTAGAAATGTTGTTGTCCTACCTGCTGGATCTTTCCCTCTTGAAAGGGGAAACCGGAGAACTCTTTTTTCCTTCTTCCTTAATCTTAATTCCAAGATTACTATAGGAATCCTTCTCTATAGGTTCCTCCTTAACCACGACAAGGTTCGGTTTCTCTTGCTTGGAGAGAATAATAAAATTCTGTTTCTTGGGTTCTTCTCTCTTCACGGTCTTCTGAATCACGGAAACTTCGTTGGATATCCTGCTTAGGGTGACCCGTCCCAGCTGTTTCTGCTGAAACTGTTGCAGCTGCTGGAACTGTTGAAGCTGCTGCAGTTGCTGAAGCTGAAGGAAGACTGTGTTTGTGTTCTCCCCAAGGGAATTGTTCGAGGAATCGTCTGAATCCATTTTAGAAACATCTTCCCCCTCCTCCTCCTCCTCAACTACCTGCAAATTACGTAGAGTTAGGATAAGAGCTACAAATCCGCATTTATTTATTAATTGTACATGTTGCACATTGTGCACATCTGGGGCTTATGAGGGGGGGCCGATCCCCCGGCCCCCCCCTACGCGTGCCCCCCCCCAGAGGGGTGCTCTTTTAATATTACATCTGCCTGCATTTCCCTTCCTCAGGCAATCTCCATTCTACATTGCATTGCATTGCACTCACTCAAACAAAAAGATTAAGAAAAGAATTAAAATATATTCTGATTCACAACAATACCCTTCAAAGCTTTGTCTGATCAAGTATTGCATTAAATATCCATGTTTCCCATTTGAAAACTGATTATTTTTATTTGTGGTTTCTCTACAAAAGTGACTCGCGCATTTCTAGCTTCAGAAACGATGGAGATAATGAAGGTTTCAAAGGTACATCGGACATGCCATTCTATAAAAGGAGGGTCACACTTTTGTAGAGAAACCACAAATAAAAATAATCAGTTTTCAAAATGGGAAACTTGGATGTTTAATGCAATACTTAATCAGTTTCTTTTTTAATTTTTAAGTTTGGGTGCAATACAATGTAGATTGCCTGAGGAAGGGAAATGCAAGCAGCTGTAATGTTAAAAGAGCCCCCCCCCCTCAGGGGGATACGCGTAAGGAGGGTGGGGCGGGGGGCTCGGCCCCCCCTCGTACGCCCCTGGTTTTAAATAAAAATGAAGAAAAGTGGTATAAAATGTATTGGGTCATATTGACCATCACTCTAACACAACTTTATTTCCAGAAATTGGGAAAATGCGAGAAAATTTATATACAAAAAGAAATAATTTTTATAAATATTATATTTGTAATGTGTATTATATATATATATATATATAAAAATATATAATACAATATTTTATAACTTTTTTCAGCTTTAATATTCATTTTAGATGTTTAAAATATTTCATAATTTTAAATATTTCATATTTTTAGGATTTTAAATGGATTGAATTATTTTTAAAAAATATCTAGTGCTGGTGGTGTCCGGTGGTGGGTATAAGTTATAAATATCTGGAGTATCGAGAGGGGGATTAGAAATATAGGGGGGGCCCGGGGGGGGGGGTATAGTCCGTTGAAGGCCGAAGAAACTACTAAATATAATACATAAACGGTTCAAATATAAAAAATATTAGATTATTGGGATTTTATCAACAATTCAGATTTATTTCTTTACGGAGACTACAGACTACAGTCTGAATAACTTTCTATTTAATTCCGGGCAAACATCTTTCTACGTTCTCAAATGTCCATTTTTAATTATTTAGTCGTAATGCGTGGAATGAAGAGCTTAACTTAAGCCCTGTTTTAATTTTGTATGTACGTCTAAATTATAAATGTTTGAGAGTTAGGTCATAGCATATGAGAAATAGAAATGTTCACAGTGAACCTTACAGGTGAGTAAACATCCTTAAGAGGAAAATATTTTAGAAATGAATTTGATTAAATAAATACCGTTTAAAACTTATGACAAAGAAATGTACTGTGTGACCTTTCACCCCTGCCGGTTCTGGTCTACCGGGAGGTGGGAGGAGGGAGGGGGTTTAACAGCAATTCAAGGCATATGTCATGCTGTGCGGGGGTGATGGGGGTTCAGCGGCGCTTTAACGCTGCCTAGAAAGTGCCTGCGACTGCCTGGGTTCACTGAATACGGAAAGGCCACCTGCCTTAAGGCTCTAATAGTTCTACATGCTTTAATGGTGATAGTGGTACATGACGATAGTATTACATTAAATCACGGGAAAAAAGGAATTTTCTTTAAAGACACATTTTCAAATCTATTAATTCAACGATCAAACTTTCTACTTACAAAATGTAATTTTTTAAATTCTTAAATCTTAAGATTATTTTTAATCATTGATAACTGTAAGCTATAAATATGGCAGTATAATGATTATGAAGAGCTATAAAATTAACATTTCTAAAAACTTGAATAAAATAAACATAAAACTATTCTGATATGTGGGCGTGTTCCCTGTATTTACTGGCTGTTCAAGTGGAACAATAAACTCTGTATATAATATAAATACTGGATTTAGATCAAATACAGGGTTAACCACAAAGGATGGGACTTCAGAGACGACTGTATGGAATTCATACTGTCAGTTTCATGATAACACGATTCCCTGAAACTGTAAACTTGTTTCTTTCTTTATCAAATCATTAAATAAGCCATAAAAAGGTTGTATTTAATACTTAAGTCTTAATTAAACCTATGGAGTTTTAGGTCGTATTTACAGCCTCATCCTTTGTAGAAGCCGGCATGATGCGTCTGCATATTAATAATTTTATATTAAATATCACATCGTTTGATCTGTACACTGCAATGCACTTACATCAAAGAAATATGAAGTGTTTACAAGTTTTTAATTAGATATTTATATTTATTTAAGCGTATTGGTATTGAATACAATGTGTTCACATACATTATTCTGAAGGAGAAGGTATGATAGAACCAAGCAAGGGGGCGGGGTTTGAGTTCACATTTTACAATATTTTCCTCGGGATTATGCAATACTATGATCTCGATGTTCTGTGTGGGCAATTTTGAATTTGAATTTAAAAAATTTATCCATATATCTGCATAAGATAAAACAAAAGTTCCGATTTCCGTTAAGTGTTAAATAAATACAAGCTGAAGTGCTCAGGCTTATATTATTCATATCAGACATATTTACTCCCGCCATTTACCTGCACTTGGTATTAAATAATTATTATAACTGAAGTTTATTTATATTTTCTAGTTTATCGATGTATTTTTTGTATCTCAAATTCTATAAATCCTCAACAAACAATAAAAAATTCACACTTTACTGATGGCGAAGCATGATTCTTATAAATATTTACGACCCTTTGTTGTTTCTTCAGTATTTTGTAGAAGTGTAAAATGCATGAAAATGTGAAGAGTTCAGAGGGTACATTTATAGGCTAGTCTATAGAATTACGTCATTTTCTCAAAAACAAATATTCTTTAGCAGAGTTATGGTTCTGGTAACATTCGAATCAGGGATTCACAGGAATACAATTCGAGTTCGGTCTCGCGGGGATTTTTCTTAAAAACCCATTTTTTAAGTCAATATTAAAAAATCTTCCATGTTATTATGATATAGTTTTTAAACTTAAGTTTAACATTTTATTATTTTGTTGTATTTCTAAAATTGAATTGATCAATAGTAAGAACAATAAAATATTAATTGTAAATTTGTTTAAATTGTTTTTAAAATATTGTTATAAATAATCAAAAATTTGAATTAGTTGACTTTAATTTGGAAAACTCCATGCAAAGCTGGGTTCCCAAGCTATTATTATTATACATTAAACTATATATGAGGTAGGTCAGTGGAGAGAGAAAATCCCAAATCTAAAGGGGAATCACTGAAATTCAGTATAAAAACTTTCCAATGATTATCTTACCCCCCCCCAATAGTTTTTCCCTAGAACTTGTAAAAGAAATAGTTACGTATTAGAAAGCTTTATTATTTGACCTTTAAAATATCAAGATCTGAATGTTACACGCTGATATCACATGTTCACAGGAACAAAGGGGTAAAAATACAGGAAAAATCAAAAAAATATCTTTAGATTTTTATGTTTCACATTCATTTTTAAAACATCATCTCTTTGAAAGTATTTTCCCTTTTTCTATGATTCATAAGTTCAATAGTACACTGTACAAATATATTAAATGTACAAATCTATTGAAAGTACACTGTACAAATACATTAAAGGTACAAATCTATTGAAAGTACACTGTACAAATATTTAAAGGTACAAATGTATTGAAAGTACACTGTGCAAATATATGTATTAAAGGTACAAATCTATTGAAAGTGCACTGTACAAATGTATTAAAGGTACAAATCTATTGAAAGTACATTGTACAAATATATCAAAGTTACATATCTATTGAAAGTACACTGTACAAATATATCAAAGTTACATATCTATTGAAAGTACACTGTACACATATATCAAAGTTACATATCTATTGAAAGTACACTGTACAAATATTTTAAAGGTACAATTAAAAGTATCCATAGAACAACACAAACGATACTTGAACTAGGCTGCCTGGCAGGTATATTATATGAAGCTGTTTACTAGATTGTATAGAGTGAATATCTATATAGAGTTTTCAGGAACAAAGAGAAGGAGGTAGATTTGGCGGGTTTATAAGCTCCGTACTTTAACACAAGTTCATGCTTAAAGTTCATGGTGCACACCCCACCACCTGCTCTATAGGTTCTATAAGGAGGGGGGGGGGGGGTATTACAGACCTCGTGGAGGGAGGTCTGGAATAATATAAAAACACCTTACAACTCCACGTTTTGTTTTAAATCGTTACATCAGAGGACATGGGCAGTGATTCATGTTTAAAGTATTATAAGTACAAGCGTAATGTGTCATCATGTATATGGCTGGGTCCCAAGAGACGGCTGGACAGATATTGCGTCATGTTTGCACAATTCAGGATTAAATCGGTTTATTCTTGGAAATTATTGATAATTGGTCGATTCTTGTAAAAAATATTTTTCTCTGAACTTTCCTTAAAATTTATAATCATACTTCCCCCCCCCCTCCCTCTCTCATACAATTTACTTCTCTTCCTATCCTCCATGAAAAAGAGAACTTAAATCCTTGAAAATAGAGTTATAACAAATAAAGTTATTGTAAAAAGTTTTATAATCTCCCACAAAGATGTTTTATGTAAATATATTTGTATATTTGTATAAATATTGATTGTAATTTAAACACGAAGAGTTTTGTAGTTTTCATGCAGGTTATAGGGGTGCTATGGAAACGCCTCAACACGGAAACGTCTCAACGCGGAAATGCCTCAAAAACCGGTTTTGAGGAATTTCCGTTTTTTTTTGGGAAATCCCTCAAAACTGGAAAATGTTGAGGGATTTCCGAATATTTTTGAGGCGTTTCCTAATATTTAAAGTTGAGGTGTTTCCTCTTTTTTTTTGAGGCGTTTCCGTTTTTTTTTGAGGCGTTTCCGTTTTTTGAAAAAACTTTTAAAACTTTATTTTGTTGAGGCGTTTCCTCTTTTTTTTGAGGCGT